CCGTGTAACCCGTCTATCTACACATGCTTTCTATAGATAAAGTGGTAGGGGCCCCCCCCCCCCCCCTTCTGTGGGGGCTCCGTGTATGTGTTCTCCCTCCAGTTCGTGGTCCACAACAGGCAGTGCAACGTGTGCAACAAGGAGTTCACCAATCAGACGTGGAAGGCCATAGTTCAGGTGCGAACCGTTACTTTCAGAGCCGTTACATTTTTTTGTTATTTTTGCTAAAGACGTGGAAGGTGGAAGGCCATAGTTCAGGTGCGGACCAGTATTCTTGAAAACGGTGCTTCTTTGAACCTTTAGTACATTTTTTTTTGTCTTGTGCCCAACCCCGACCGACCCTCGTCTCTTCTCGGTTTGACCCTTATTCTGTTTTAGGATCTGACTATCCTTTACTTGTTCGTGTGGGTTCCCTCAGTCGGTCGATGAGGTACCGCGGTAGGAGGTGGAGAGATGGCACCCTCCCGCGGACCGACCTTCAAAGGTCGATTGCTCCGCAACCGAGTGGGTGCAGAAAAGAGCCCGATACGTCTACGGAAAGCCCTCCACAAGATGTTTCCATCCCAAAGTCACCATTATTGGTGTCAGCACAAGCTTGGTTGTGGAGAAAATCGAGCTTTGAGAATCGGTCTAGGGGGGGTGCCATCTCTCCGTCTCTTGCGAAATACGGTACGGTATACGGTACGGTACAGACAATCTTGGTTATGGAGTAATCGAGCTTTGAAAATCGGTCTAGGGGGGTGCCATCTCCCTGCCTCTCAAGCAGACAGTGGCTCCGTGTCCCAAGACCGTTGGACCTCTCTTTTGTGTCAGTGTGGTGTTCGACGGTTGGCATGGCAGCTCGTGTTAATACGCTTGCGCATGGTCGCAAAAACTCCCCCGGTTTGTGTTTCGCGATTTAGATTCGCAAACTTTATTTATTCCACTATACGTTCAGTATTATTACCAAAATCGACCACAACAGACAAGGCAATCGCCTACGGGGGAAAAGCCTAGTGGTAGTGCTGATCTCTTTTGCTCGCCTTTTCATGGCGTTTGGAAACAACGCGTTTTCGCTTTTTTTCTATATTTCCTTTCGAAATAGTAGTTTTCTCGCGCTCATTTTTTTTTTTTCGTACAATTTTCCCGATTTCGTGCTTTCTTGCGCCGAAGATCCGGCAGCGGGCTGGGCACAAGCGGACGATGATGCTGCTGGAGCAGCGAATCCTGCAGGCCGACGCGCACAGGAAATGCATCAGTGTCGAGGTACGACAGGCTTGTGTGTGGCGGTGGTGGTGTTGGCATTGAGGTTATGGTTGGGTGGGATGCTGTTGCACGGGAAATGCATCAGCGTTGAGGTACACATTGTGCAACCGTTTCGTCCCGTCTGGTGGTATTCGGAGGGAGGATCCCGCTGTGTTTTTTGTCGTGATGACACGTTAGGATAGACACCGCGGAGGCTTTGTGCTACGCGGAACGTGTGGTACGGGGGAAGTCTCCCTCCGTTAAGCCACAGCAATGAAAAATCCGGCGGTGTTGAAGCCGTCTGGTCGAGAGCTCTCCGGAAATGTATCGTTTCGTTCATGCATCCTCTTCCTCGTGGAGAAATCGACCTTTGAAAATCGGTC